GAAGGAGTGAACAGGGCAAAGGACTCTCAATTTCAACAACAATGAATCCAACATTCAAGTCATCAATCAAACAAACAACTCAAAATCAACCAGAAGCTCACTTGAATTCCAAGTGAAAACCAGCTTTAGATCAGAATTCCCACGGCTCAGACTTAGAAAATAAGTCATTCAAAACGAGATTTCTCTCATTACAAATTTGGTTTAGCAAAGAACAAGACAGGTGGAGCTTGAGCTTTTCCCAAACATGAAAACCTCAACAAATTTTACAATGCAGTCTCTAGCCCACTGAAGTCCTCGAGAACAGCCACTTCTGCCCTTACAGACTAAAGAAGCCGCAGTTATGCCCACTCAAAAGCCTCACAAAAGCGTGAATTGTATTAAAGTTCTGCCAAAATTAACCTTTGGTATTGATCTACAGTTGAAGCTTAGCAGCAGAAGTTGTTAACAGTCCAGTCTAGCCCAGATATTTCCAAACCAGCCCGGATCAGAACCCTCTATCCAGGCAGAATTGGAGTTCCAACTGTCCTCTCTTCTTTCTAGCTTGGATATTTATGTTTATAGTTTTGTAAAAGGCAGTTCTGCCTAAGACAGCTTAAATTCCATCAATCATTCTGGCAAGAACAACCTTTTTATACTGAGATAAATTGTTAAAGTCCTCACCAGTCTGAGGCAAGAAAAGAACTTACTTGGGAGATATTCCTCACCCAAATTCACAATCGCTTGTTTATGGAAATCAGTAACTTGGGGCGCAAGTTATCTATTCTAGAATAAGTCTGCTAGAATCTTCATTGCTAGCAGTGGCATGCTCATACACCAAAGAAAGCTGACTTGCTGACCAGCCGATGGTTCACAAGGTAGTGAGGAACTTTGCCCTTCCACCACAGGAGTGATCACAAAACAGGTGAACAGAAGTCTTACACATAGTGGCCCAAAAACAATTGCTGAAATTTGGTGGTTTGGACCAAAATTTGGTGGTTCACAATTTCAATTGCCCTTTGAATATTCATTTTTATCTCAACAAGGAAAGACAATGTCGTAGTACTTTGGTCCATTGACTAGGTCTTTTACTCTTTTGGGCCCATAAATACATAAGATAAATTGAGTAAAATTATACTATAATAAATTCACTTTGAAATTTTTAAAAAATTAGAATTTGATATGGGTTTGGGAAAGGGCTTTTCAGTAGAATTTAAAGACGTGCTTTAAGGCTAAATGGACTTGGGTTATATTGTCATTTCATGGCTTTCCTTTCTGTAGTTTGTTTGGTTATGGGCCTTGTCAAGGGGGGTTGATTCTTCCCTAACCTCACAAACAACTATACATTGGCTTATTTAATAGGGAGGACTATCTATAAAAGGTTGATGACTAAAATTTATTCCTCTAAAAATGGTAAGATTAGAAGGGATAAGTTTTAGTCATTAACTTCTATGAATAGTCCTCCTTCATGTCTAAGTTGGACAACAATATCCATATTATGCCTTGAATGCATATGAAATGTAGGCCTTTTGCTAGTTTAGTCTAGTCAAGTCTAGTCCTCCCTACCAGATGTTGAGTGGTTTGGTGATTTTGTTTCTTGAGTTATTGCATCCGACTTTCTCATGATTTTGGACCTTAAATACTATTTGGGTTTCTCATGATTTTGGCTCAAAATTGCATGTTCTTATCTTAACTACTAAAATGGGAATATGCCTTTGATAGCCTTTTCAGTTAATGATATATTCAAGGACAAAACTTGCCCAGAAGGAAAAGCCTAAAAACTTGTTCAGATGTTCAATTTTGGAGCAAAGTGGTTCATTCTGTTTCACCTACTAAAACCTTCATCCATTTCCATTTTGGATTTTCCTTCCCACCTTAAACCTTTCTTTTTTAAATTTCTTTCTGAAAGTGATAGCCATCTAGATCATGTGGTGCCTCCTCAATGCATTGAATTTAGATATATCTCTTTTTCTCACATGGTGGTGCGAACCAAAATCAATCACCTCAATTAGCATGGCTAGTCCTGGGCAGCGCGACTCAAGGAGCATCGAATCCATGTCCAATCAAACAAACATTATCACACCTTATCACTAAACTAAACGTGTCTTCATGAAAGATAGCTGTGTTCGTTACTTTTATTGTTTTATGATATTAATTCATAAAAGATACAGTATTTTCATGTTAGATCATGTGAGTGTCCAATCTAAGTTTCACACAAGGTCGTCAAAATCTAAAAGTTGGTCATGTCAATAGCCAAATTGGTCACTAATGCCTTAGGCCAAAACCCAAAGAATGTAGAAAAAATGGAGAAAAAAGAAGAGATGGACTTGAGATCATGGCAAAGCAAGAAAACATGTCAACCAACAACCATTCCCATGCTTGACGAAAATAGATAAGACAAAAGCCATATTAGGTCTTTGGAAAAATGAGGCTTGCTAGAATTACGTACTTTTGACCAAAATTAAAAATAAAAATAATTATATGTGCCCAAATTTCGCCTAATGCCCGTAATATGAATTTCAATGATGTGTACACGCACGTGGAGGAATGGGTATATTTCCGACCGTGTGATCTCATTTGATATGACGTGTAGGGCTGTGATCGATTTTCAACTGTCAACAAACCACCATTAACGGCTGCATCAACGAACTCATTTCGCCCTCACCTTAGTAAAAAACCGAAAAACCGGAAATCTTGTACTTGGACTTTGAGGTTATTATGTATTCAGCTCCTTGAAAGGAGGGTTCTGTGTATGATTTACAAGGACTGCAATAATCTGGTGGGTCCGAATTTACGTTGGACCCCACCAATTAGACTAAGGTTTACTTTTATAGTTCGAACTTTTAATATGTTTTGCTCAATTAATTAACCACATTAACATTAAGAATGTAAATAGCAACAACTATTTAGCAACAAAATTTATGGTTAATTTAATCGTTATAAAGAAATTAACTAGCTTATGGTTTAGTGGCACTAATCTCTACTTAGAATTTTATATTCGACTCACATGAATAGAAGAACAATATGTATTTATGAATTCGATACCAAATTCTGACTAATCCATTGTTCATTCATTAACAAAACTTTGTAAATATCCCATATAATTTGGATAATTATAAAGAAGAGAGGAAAAAAGACTTGTATAAATGATAAATTGGATGTTGGATTAGTGCCAGATAAAGATATGGGTTCTTTAGAGACAGTTTGACTTTTAATATGAATTTCTTTTTATGAAGATATATTTTTTTTTAAAAGAACGATAGTATATTATTGATAATAAGATAAGTAACAGTACCAAAAAATCGGGCTATGTCCTCGGAATATGAATAAATTTAATTTGAAGAGATCCATTCTTGTACTATTAAATTCAAATTAAAAGTCAAGAAATATAGCATTACTACAAATGCACAATACCTAGGTAAGAAATTAAACTATGCCATTAAATTACTAAAAAATCATTTGGGCTTTCGGTACACTTTAAAGAACAATCTCTTAAGCAAGGTCTTGAGTTCGAGTTCTAGCATTTGTGTAGTGTGTGTGAATTTACTATGTTATCGTTATTCTCAATAAAAAAGGTCCTAAATAAAATAAAATAAATCTCTACGATACAGAAAGTATCAATATCGATTGAAAAATAACACCTATCAATTCAATTGCATGAAGTATACTAGGAAAGAAAACATTCCGGCTTATTTTATTCACTTGTATATACCGATATGAATGCAATCTTTTGAGGAAATAAAAAGGTTTCATGATTTGTCTGTGCCCATGGAATATAATATATACTTCATCTTCATACGTATATGGCATCAAATAACACATTTTTTGTTTTTAGTTCTAAATTTCTTGACGTGATTGCTTACCCATCTTGTCACGTATATAGCACTGATCATGGTATGCCTATACCAATTATGCTCATGGAGCACATAATTTGCGGCAAGAATTATTTTAGCGGTAAGATTTTATGAGAAGTCATGGATTAAAAACAATATAATTCTCTAAGAAATTAATCTTTTATTCTTTGGGTGGGACAATACATTATCATTTTGATTGTGGGATCTAAAGTTGTTGTTTTTTTTTTTTAATGAAGAAAAGTTTAGGGGGAGATTGGCTACTCTCGCTACCAGCGCCATGGCAGACACATAACTTTGAGTTGGAAGGATTTACACGTGGTACCCAATTGCCAGCTGCCACGGGTATGAATTTATGTAGGAAATTACAGATCGCCCACCAACGAGGATTGCGGGTAGTGGACTCGAACACTAATGAAGTTACACACAGTGCAATGACCTTACCAACTATACCAACCCTGGCTAAAGTTTTCTTCGTCCTAGAACTTCCATATAAAAGTTTTTTTTCCACACATTTGTGACCTCTTATTTTCTTAACCGTGTTCACTTGGAATTGTAGAAAATTTTGTAACGATATCATAAGTCTTCCATAAAAAAGTTTTTTTTCCACACATGTGACCTTTTATTGTCTTAACCGTTTTCACTGGGACTCTTTTATGTATAAATTTTATATATTGATTAAATTTATATAACATGAGGACGACTGTAAATCATTGATTAATCTTATATTAGAAACATATTTCATCAAAATCATTTCTAGAGTTCTCCTTTTGATATTGGATTGGTTTGAGGAGGGGTGGCTAAAAGTTCCATACTCCATGTTTGCTGATGACAATCTATGAAGTGCAAATATATAGCCCATATCTTGTAACTTGTACGAACCCAAGAACCTCAAATGAAGAGCATACGTGAAGTGAAGGAGATGTTTGCAATTGCAAATTCAAACTGACTTTCTATTTATAATAAATAAATAAAAATCTGGCTTGGTTCTTAAGAAAATAAAATATGACACGTGGCATTCAATAGTTGGGTGCGTTTGAAAGTGATAAGCCTCTGCTTCAGTTGTTCACACTCTATAAATACCAGCCAATCATCCATTCAAATTCAAACCTGGCAAATAAGCCAAGACTTCAAATTGCCCCTGTTTTACTAGACTCATTAAGTAAGCAGATAATGGCTCTTGTTCTTCAACCTTCATTGTCCATGGTTACTCTTGTAACCTTGTTTTCTATTCTACTAAACCTAAACCCTAGCTCATGCTTCAACCCAAAACTCTTCAGTGTGTCAAGGGTTCAGTCTGACTCTGACTGGGCGGCAGCCGGTGCAACTTGGTATGGAAACCCCGACGGTGCCGGGACTGATGGTAAAGGATATATACTAGAAAAATTATTTTGGTTATTTATATTCATATTAAAAGACGTGACTTTTGTCACATGATTTGAGGTTTTATATTAGAAATATACATTTTAATTATTGATCTTGTGTATAGGGGGTGCTTGTGGTTATGGCAATGCTGTAGAAAACTCTCCATTCTCTAAAATGGTGTCTGCTGGAGGCCCTTCTTTATTCAAATCAGGCAAAGGATGTGGAGCTTGTTATCAGGTCAAACATATGTAGCGGCTTATGTATATGGATGTGACACAAATATTGAAAATTAATTTTTGTGCTTATATAAAATTATATCAATTTCAATATCAATTTTAAGAATATATTAAGAAGCTGAAATTAATGGCACAAATTCAGGTGAAGTGCACGACGAATGCTGCATGCTCTGGGAACCCGGCGACTGTCGTTATAACCGATGAGTGCCCTGGATGTACTTCAGAGTCGGTTCACTTTGATTTGAGCGGCACTGCGTTTGGAGACATGGCAGTTTCCGGCCAGGAGGGACAACTACGGAATGCTGGAGTCCTGCAGATTCAATATAAAAGGTAAATAAAAAAATAATATGCATAAAAGAAAGCTGAATCTATTATAGCGTCCTCTATGGTCAATTTTCTTTCGTTTTAATTTCAATTACCTAGAAGAATATTCTTTTACCAAATAGTCTGACAAGTCATTCAAAAGTCAGTTTAAACTATTAATTACATGGATGCCATTTAGATATATGATTTGAATTCACAATTTATTGTAACGCAACGTGCCAGACATGCAAAATAATGTTACCCCTATTCTCAATATATGTACAGAGTGGACTGCAACTATCCTGGAGTGACCCTCGTCTTTCATGTCGACTCGGGTTCAAACCCTAACTATTTTGCTACCCTAATCGAGTATGAAGATGGAGCAGGTGACCTAACCGAAGTTCATCTCAAGCAAAGTGGTGGAGACTCGGACTCATGGCTTCTCATGCAGGAATCTTGGGGTGCTGTTTGGAAACTTGACTCAGGCTCAGCATTGCAAGCCCCATTCTCTATTAGGCTCACTGCAAGCAACGGCCAAGCCCTTGTTGCAAACAATGTCATTCCGGTTGGTTGGCATGCCGGCCAGACTTATCGATCCCTTGTCAACTTTTAACCCTAATAAAATCTGGGATATGTACTAGTTTGATGATTTAATAAATAAGATTAATTAGTTGCCAGTAGTCAACTTAATTATTGATCGTTCGTCACTTAATTCGGTTTGTCTTTATGAAGAAATTCCTTACGCTGCCAATTGAGGAAAAATATGTTACCTTTTCTTCATGGTTTAGACATTTTTATTATTATTTTAATTAGGAGTATGATCTTGAGGATTTTATAGATCGTTGAAAATGAATCAGGCTACATTTGGACTTAATTGGATCACTTACCACCGTGAAAGATGTCATGAGCTGCAATACGATTAGACAACTTACATGTCATTTGTCACATAACTAAAAATTAGGATTTAAGTTGGTGTCGCTAGCATTACTTTTATTTATAAATTTGTATACTTTTATTTCATATCATATATATTTGGCTTCGTATATTCATGTGCATACGGATGATTACACTACTACATTTTTCACTTTGCGCGACGAAGAAAATTTCGTCGCGCAAAATACATTATAGTCGCACAAATTTTAGCGCGACAGAAACTTCGTCGCGCAGATTCCGTCGCGCAAAGATCGTGGAGAAAGACTTTGCGCGACGAAATTTTTTCATTCGTCGCGCAAAGAGACTTTGCGCGACGAAAAAATATTGGTCGCGCAAAGTGACTTTGCGCGACGAAAATATTGGTCGCGCAAAGTGACTTTGCGCGACGAAAATATTGGTCGCGCAAAGCGACTTTGCGCGACGAAAAAATATTTGTCCCGCAAAGCCACTTTGCGCGACGAAAAATATTGGTCGCGCAAAACTTTGCGCGACGAAAAAATTTTAAAATTTTTTTTTAAAAAATTCCCTCGTCCCATTTTTAGTACCCGCCCAAATTTTTAGAGTTTTGCGCGACGAATATTAATGTCGCGCAAATATTTGCGCGACGAAATATTTTGGTTTTTGACTTTTTGTTTTATTATTTCTTTAATATTAATTTAATTATATTAATTATTTCGAATTTTTAATTTTTAAATTAAATTTAATTGTATGATTTTTTTCGTTACTTTAATTTAAATTGATATTAATTTAATTATATTAATTTATTCAAATGTTTACTTTTTAAATTTAATTTAATTACTTTAATTTAAATTGACATATTCAAAATAAAATTACATATGAAAAATAGTGATCAAATTATCCAATAAATATATATATAATATTCAAAATGTACACATAAATTAACAAAGTACAATAAATAAAAAAAAGGGATAATCTCCCCTAAAATTGTTATACCACAAATCCAACCCAAACTCCAATCCCTCCCCTTTACTCAACCCCAAACCCCACACAAACTCAAAACTAACTCCAAAAACACATATTAATGAAAAAAAAATTAAAATTTGGAGAGAATCTACCTTTTGGCAAGATTGAGAGTGAGTGAGAATGAGAGAGAGAAATGAGTGTGAGAGAATTAGAGAAGATAGTGATAGAGAGATGAGAGAGTGAGTGAGAGTGAGAGATAGTGAAAAGAGAGATGAGAGAGTGAGTGAGAGTAAGAGATAGTGAAGAGAGAGATGATGAGAGATTAAGTGAGAGGAGTGAGAGTGAGAGAAATGGTGAGATTTGGGGAGAGGGAAAGAGAGAGGAGAGGAAAGAGTAGAGAAAGACATTGAGAAAATGATGGAGGAGTTATTTTTATTTTAAAAACCGTATCACTTTGCGCGACGAACGACATTGTTGGTCGCGCAAAGCTTTGCGCGACGAAAAATATTGGAGTATTGGTCGCGCAAAGCTTTGCGCGACGAAAAATATATTGGTCGCGCAAAGTTTTGCGCGACGAATATTAGTATATTGGTCTCTCAAAGCTTTGCGCGACGAAAGCAAAGTTTTGCGCGACGAATATTAATATTGGTCTCCCCGCGTCCCATTTTTGGTACCCGCCCAAATTTTGAAATTTTTGCGCGACGAAAAATACATATTGGTCGCGCAAAGTCTAAAAAAATTAAATAAAAAAATTCCCGCGTCCCATTTTTGGTACCCGCCAAATTTTTGCGCGACGAAAATATATATTGGTCGCGCAAAGTCTAAAAATTTTTTTTTTTTTTTTCATCCCGCGTCCCATTTTTGGTACTCACCCAAATTTTTAAAGTTTTGCGCGACGAATTGTTGGTCGCGCAAACTTTTGAGAGACGAAAAATTGGTTCATAGCACGATATTTATAAAAATAATTGTTATGAATAATAAATTTATTTTTTTTTACGATTTAAAATATAAATAAGGTTAAAGCTACTTAATAAATGTATATACCAATTTCTTAAGTGTTATACGTACAAAATAAATAAATTTAAAGCTACTTAATAAGTAAATATATATATATATATACACACACCATTCAACGATCCAACCGTCAAACTTGTTTGTATATACTTCAAGATCGTATACCCCAAAAATTGTAAAAAAACAAACATTCGGAGACCTAGTAACGGGACAAAAAATTTCAACGGTTCTTAATGAAAAATCACGATTTAACGATTATTTTAACTCCGATTTTGATGATTTTTTACAGCTACACTCCTTGACCTTATATGAATACAATGAACTAATTCGATCGTCAATTTAAAATATTTACACTAGTGGATACCACAAAATCTTATGTTATACTTAACAAAAGTATAAATAAACTCTTAATTGTTAGTGAATATATTGTTTTGATGGCATACGCATTCAAAAAAACAAGTTTCAACGATCCAACCGTCAAACTTATTTGTTTATACTTCGAGATCATATACGCCAAAAATCGCAAAAAATAAACATTCAGAGATCAAGTAACGGGACAAAACTTTTCGACGGTTATAAATGAAAAATCTTGATTCAACGGTTATTTTAACTCCGATTTTGATGATTTTTTACCGCTACACTCCTTTACCCTATATGAATACAATGACTGAATTTGATCTTCAATTTAAAATATTTACACTAGTGGATACCACAAAATCTTATGTTATATTTAACAAAAGTATAAATAAACTCTTAATTGTTAGTGAATATATTGTTTTGATGGCATACCCATTCTATGAAACTAGTTTGAACGATCCAACCGTCAAACTTGTTTGTTTATACTTCGAGATCATATACGCCAAAAATCGCAAAAAATAAACATTCAGAGATCAAGTAACGGGACAAAACTTTTCGACGGTTATAAATGAAAAATCATGATTCAACGGTTATTTTAACTCCGATTTTGATGATTTTTTACCGCTACACTCCTTTACCCTATATGAATACAATGACTGAATTTGATCTTCAATTTAAAATATTTACACTAGTGGATACCACAAAATCTTATGTTATATTTAACAAAAGTATAAATAAACTCTTAATTGTTAGTGAATATATTGTTTTGATGGCATACGCATTCTATGAAACTAGTTTGAACGATCCAACCGTCAAACTTGTTTGTTTATACTTCGAGATCATATACGCTAAAAATCGGAAGAAATAAACATTCAGAGATCAAGTAATTGGACAAAACTTTTCGACGGTTATAAATGAAAAATCACGATTTAACGGTTATTTTAACTCCGATTTTGATGATTTTTTTATAGCTACACTCTTTGACCCTATATGAATACAATGAACTAATTCGATCGTCAATTTAAAAAATATATTTTCTAATAAAAACCCAATCCAAAAAACAATAATATATTTTTCTAACAAATATTTTAAAAAATATTTTATTTATTTTTATAAGGACTTTGCGAGACGAAGTTAATTGTTTCGTCGCGCAAAGTAGCTTTGCGTGACGAATTGTTTTTCGTCGCGCAAAGTCGCTTTGCGCGACGAACTGTTTTTCGTCGCGCAAAGTTACTTAGAGCGACGAATTTTTTTTCGTCGCGCAAAGTTACTTTGAGCGACGAATTTTTTTTCGTCGCGCAAAATTTGGTCGCGCAAGACTTTGAGCGACGACGTATTGTCGTCGCGCAAAAGTTGGTCGCGCAAAGTCGCTTTGAGCGACGAAAAAAAATTCGTCGCGCAAAAGTTGGTCGCGCAAGGTTTTTAGCGACGGAGTTTTGAGTTTCGTCGCGCAAAGTGTCTTTGCGCGACGAAAAATTATTCGTCGCGCAAAATTTGGTCGCGCAAGGGTTGTTTTGTAGTAGTGTTAGGGGGGCGCCCATAAACCAAATGGATAAATTCCAAAGGAAAATCATAAGAAAATAATCAATTTGCAAAAGTCTGTGTTTATTATTGCATACTTCAGCAAGTTTTATAAGCCAAAGACCTTACATCAATAAAATTGTGTGCATTTTATTTTATGAATACATAATATGTTTTCGTAGCCTATAATTTTAGGGCTTTGCACAAATAGGCCCATTCTCACATGACATATTATACAAAAATTCTTTTATAGAATCTATTTGAAGAGAAAAATCCAAAACTATTCACTTATCATTTTCTAATTGGTTCTTATAAAATTTTAACACACTAAGAACCGATTGGAAAATAACAAATGACTAGTTTGGAGTTTTTCTCTACAAATAGGCTCTATATGGACTTTTGTATGATATTTCATGCTCAAATGAGTTTTTGAATAAATATCTTAAGGGGTTCGGAGAGAAGGGCTACAACAACAAAGTGTCTCGGCTCCCATGGGTATGCAACGTCCGTTATTAAATTGCCTCTTAGCGCAATCTTGTACACATTGCAGCATTCCAAACGAGGGTCCGCAGGTTTCATAGCAAAAGGGGTCAACTGCCTTCACTTCCACATCCCATTCAAAATACATACATACATCATAAATGACCATAGCATCAATGCCAAAGCTGATGGCAAGCAAAAAAAAAAAAAAAAAAAAAAACCCCCCCCCACAAATAAATAATTATTCATTGAAATAAATAATGGATATCAAACTTCAAGGTTAAATTGTTAAAATTGAAACTACATGGATCGAAATGAAAAATTCAGTAAACTATATAGATCAAAGATGCCTAAAAAATGTGATATTTGAATAAATAAATAAAA